ATTTTAGTTTAATTAGTTCAATGGCTATTAAGCATTTACAATGATTACTATTTAATTTATCATCATCATTTCAGCCCCTTACGTACAATCCTTAATTACCATACATACATACATCTATCATATTACAATGCCTAAATAATTGCCTATGGACATAAAAGCAGTACATTACTTTGAATAAATTATAGTGTGGAACAAACTCGAAGCGAATGTCCTTCTTTCAGTTAATTAAGCTAAGTAATTGAAAAGGCTGTGTTGCTGTGTGATTTATGTTTGTAATCTTCATAGCCGTTCATTATACGAGTACACAAGTACGAATAATGTTCGGGCGCAGCTTTTGAGTTTTGTTTACATGAATACATTTATCACTTAAATCCTACTAATACTATAAATGCGTGTGAGTCTGAGAGAAAAGGATGTGTTTAAAATGGTGTCTTCATTTGAAACAATGAAATGTATAATCACTATAAAAATACAATGTCTTTATAAAGATACATAATCTTTAAAACCGTGATTCCAACAATTATATGCAATTCAATATTATAATATATTTAACTAATAAATATAACAATGCATATTTGCTCTTAAGTTCTCTTCAACAATTTTATTACTTTTTTATATTTAGTCATGTTATGTCAGTATTTAGGCATCAAAGTTATTTCGCTTTTTTAATATCGACTAAAGGCAACGGTACGACATCATAGAGACAGATGACATCGTAGAGTTATATTCACATTATTAAAATAAACAAAGTGATACAAATTATAGTATTGAAATAATATTAAAAGTGGTATTTTTACCAGAATTTTTAAAATAGTTTGGTATACTAGATTATCATTTGGGACATTTTTTACACAATTGACGTATGCTGAGGAATATTTTAGAAACTTAGGTACCGTGTGTCGGAGGAATAGTATTTTAATTACTTCCTACTCCATCGATAATCGAAACCAGCTAACCAAATATAAGATAAGTAAAATTAAAATTCTTATCAGTCACTGCAAGAGAAGTTCTGAATTATTAGGCATAGAAATGAACCTTAATTTTATTTAATTTTCTGCTTTCACTCTAGTCAATTTTTTACCCCTGATACAAGAGAGATGTTATAAGTTTAACGTGTCTGTGAAATCTGTGTGCCTATGTGTCATTCTATCATCATGGCATAGTAACTTCGAAACGAATAAACCGATTACATATTGTATGAGTTACGTATTGTATTATTTTTTCTTATTTTTTTTTATTATTGATGAATAAACAACAAATATGTTGTTATTCCAGTCATCATATTTAATAAATAGATAAAGACACAACATGAAAATACTACATATAATACAGATTATATATGTTGTACTTATATGAAAATAGTTTAGATATACTATTATGTTACACTAAGATTACTAGGGATTGAGTGTGTCTATATTGTAAATGGTTCGACTGTATGGATGAAGTTGGCGGATAAAGGATAGTAACCAGAATAAAATTATCGTTACAGTTTGTAATATCTTTAAAGCAGGCACCTACTTAGCATAAAGTTTTTGTTTGTTGTTTGCTAACTCAAACTTTCTTGGAGAGTATTTCTACATAAATTTAGAGAAACAACGTCGAAAAGTAGGTAGTTACATGTGAATTATAATCTAAATATTTTTAAGATACATAGTGGACATTCCATTACTAATGGTCGTTACATACATTTTGTAAAATACATTTCATTATTACAATTGAATGTTGGGATAATTTACTAGGCATAGCAATGCCTGTGTGGGATATAGCAAAATTTAAATCTTAATTTACTTTTATTTGGAACTAAACCCTTATTTTGTTTGTAAGTACTCTTTGGATAATTAATGTATATTTTGTTATTTTAAATAGCATATATGCTAATGGAAATGGAAGAGCCAGATATGAGGTTGAACTGATATAAGGTTTCTCTATACCTGAGTGGGAGTCTTATTTCGATTGAAAACTATAATATATTACAATAAAATTGGCTTTGTAAATTTACGTATGTATGATTGCAGTACGTATAATACGTTTAAGTCTTCTAATTATATATTCTAATTGAAGAAAATATAACTAGAAAAATTAAACTTTTGTCACAATATTATTTATACCATAATTCACCTAGTAGTATCTCTGGTAGAGAAAAATAAACTGCGCTGACCTCAAATAATGGGATAAAGGTATGGAAATTATGATTTATTTATATTAGGTACACCAACAGTTAGGTACCTACGGATTATTTAAAACCGTACGTACGCATTTTTTATAACCTGTTAATTTACATATTAATATAGCTGCAACATAAATGAAAAAGTTTGTAAAAATACTTATATAGAATGTGTCTGAAGAAAAATGAATATTGTTTTACACATCCGAATTAATAAATATGATATAATTTATCCTTACATACAATCAGACAGATCACAGACAGCCTGATAAAGGTTAAAATAAATGTAACTTTTATGGCATTTTCCTTTAATTTCACATATGTAATTACCTAGTCTAACGTAACCCTATAATTAGCTAAAACAAATTCAGATGCTATATACGCAGTTTGTGCTGTTACTCATTCTGAATCCACGTGCACAGGTATACAAACGAAAATAAACATATCGTGTTTCATTTCAATTACCCAGAATTTATATAGGCATAGCCTTTGTGGCTCACTTGCTAAACTTGGACCCATTCAAGTTCATTGATTACCTTGTTAAAAAAAAGTTCTTTATTTAGCTCCACTAACCAGACCAAAAGGTTGACGACTGATTGAAATAATTTCATACAGTTTGCAATGTGTCATTTCATTTTTTTTTATTGTGAACTAGATATACTTATTAATATATTTAATATGAATCATTAAACCATAACTAATAATTTACAGAAGATAAAAATTGTAACGTATGTTCAGATTATAAAACTTGATAATAAAATCCTGAAAAAATGAAACTATGAAGAAAGAAAACAAAATTGACCACATATATATTTAAAGAAATTTATGTTCATAGTGATATAAGCTATAGTATTTGGCAAGCTCCGACAGTTACCACTGTTGTACTAAGTGATCATAAAGGAAAAATTACTCACGTTACAACTACATCTAATAACTTTATATTGTTTTGTAAGGTACGTGTCACTACGAAAATATTCCGAAATAAAATATATATCGGGCAAAAACTACTAAACTATATTGTATAGCAGTCTACCGGGTCACCAAATTATGAGGTAAATACATTTTATTGCGGAAAAACTCATTCCCACGGGCAAACGCAAAAACTGCTTCGAGAAAAAATTTGGTAGAAAAGAAGATACTGTAGGTTGAAGTCTCGTGTTCGTTCTATAAAATCTATACAAAAATATACTCCTAAATATTTTTGAATAGATTTTCATATTACTTTTTTCTATAGCTAACTATATAGTTTGCTATAGAAAAAAGTAATATGACATCTGATATATACTAATTTAATAGTAAATTACTTATCTCTTGAAGGAAAAATAAAATTAAAAGCTATGTATCTGATATAATAAAGAATGAAATCACTGTTCTGATTTTTTAATAAGTTTATATAGTTTTATATATTTTTTATTTTATTGACACTATTAATTTTTTTAAGTGCAACAGTTTGAGCAGGGTGCATTAGTTAAAGTTAAAGTCACCAATGACTGAATAGATTTTTTCACAAGTGGCATTTGACATTTCTTTGGGTTAGTTAATAAATATAAATAATACACAATCCAGATTTGCAGTTTATAACTGATGAGGGCTCGTGAACTAATCGAGGTCGCAGTTTAGGCGTTCTACTTAATTATAGATATATAAAAATCCAGATTTTTAATCTTTAAAAATTTATAGATGTATGAATTACGGTAATATTTAATAGAAGATTGCACCTGTTTGCACTAATGTCTTTGCTGGCGGTGCAGCGGTGCACCAGTGAAGAATGATAGCTCATTGTGGCAAATTCACCAAGAATAAAGTAAGGTTAAAGGTTTTAATAATAATAACCGAGGAAAATATACAGCGCCTTGTAGTTGCAAAAAAAGGACAAAGCTTGATTTATGCTTTACAACTGATAAAAATACTAATATTTATTGTAAATACATAATTAATCTACATAACAAACACCCAAACTAAAATTAAGGTTATGAGAGCTTACTTTCCTACTTTTAATGTATAAACACAGTGTAACTAAGCAATAACTTGTACGTATAAAGTATAAAAATAAATTTCTAATTCAACTGTAAACTTTTTATGTTTATAAAGCCAAGACATTAATGTAAATAAATTGACTTAGAAATTATTATAACGCCATTAAGTTCATCGCGCCATTCAGCCTTGGCCAAGCTACGTGCAATGAATCACTTTTCTATAGGTCTCTCGAGGAAACTGTTTTATGAAAATTATGTTATTTATATTAATTTTTTGGATTAATTTATTAATTAGTTACGGATTAATAATTTACTAAACTTGTTACTTGATTGGATTAAACTTTTAAACCAATTGAATTCACTATGTCCTATACACTAGTCTAATAGAGATGCGTTATAAAATAAACCTACCACTTAATTTTTAGATTTCTAGATATGTATTAGGTTTGTATAAGTACTGATAGTAGGTAAGGTTTTATGCTTTGTGTATTTTGATAACCTGTTTAGCACATTTCTGACGGTCGCGGGTATGATTTCTCGCACGGTAGAAACATTTGTATTCATGAGTTGTTTGTATTTGTCTGGGTGTATTCTATGTATATTATGTATGTATTTTAAAAAATCTAAGTATATCTATCAGTATAGTATTGTCTAGTACCCATAACACAAGCTCTGCTTAACTTGGATCTAGATGACGCTGTGTGGATTGTAATGATAAGGATATTATATGTATTATATATTAAGTATATGAGTAAAATTAATATACTTCATATAGAATCAGAATTTAATGTGCTTGCAGAAAATTAATATATGTAACGATAACTATTACTAAAATATAATAATTTTATAGAAAAGGTTACCTGCTATAGCTCTGCCCAGTAGCAGTGTACTGAACAATATGGACAGCACCCGACTCGTTCCTCTCGCCACCATCTTGCTGTGGATGCTGTATCTCGATGCTCGATATCAACTTCTATCAGGAAACATACTAGCCACTCACTTGTCTATTCTCAAATGCACATGTTTGACTCTTTACACTGTTTAGTAATTTTATATTTGATCATGTTTATGCATTAACATGACTAAAACATGTCCTTCTCACATTAAAAATAATTCGTTAAGACATATTGATGAACATATGTATGTTGTACATTTGAACCTTGGAAAAAAAATGTATAATGTGATTTTATACAGCGGTAGCACAATTAAATGAAACCTACTACTGAAGTATCTAACACGGATAAGTATACGTAAGATTTTATCAGTTACACATAAGAATGAATTAAATGGGATAAATGAATTAGATTATTACTTTGACCTATAATTTTTGGCGTATTCAAGATTGTGAGATATGTCTATATAAATAAATATACGTAGTTCAGACTAAAACTCCTTACTATAGCTAACCCAGCAGACGTTGTTTTGCCCTATGAATTAAAGTACTAATATCGCTATAAAATTCGGTCAAGACGTATGGTAACTAACATTGTGACACTAGAATTTTATATATAAGATTGTTCTATAAATCTTAAGAAAGTATTTAATATAACGAAACCTCACACCTGATATAAAAAAAAAATTCTATAGTCTTTATTACTTCTATATCCTGTCTACTAAACTTCACATTGTTACTTAAGTTAAGTACTTATTTTACGCTAATATGTCTAACGATAAACGATATAATTTCAAAAAACAGACTCCATAAACTATATATACATATATTATAGAAGTATAAAGTAATTTATACGTATTTATATACTAACGTCCTAACATGTTAAAATATATACCCCCGAATCTCTAGGGAATAAACGTGGGATATATTTAATAAACAGCTGGTTATTTCGGTGTAAATTATCACTAAATGAACGATGATTGGTCCTCCGAGGCGTGGAACGAGCCGTGAAAGGACGCAAGTTGTTGTTCCCTTAGAATTAATTCTATTAAAACATAGTTACATATTATACTGCTAGTAATAATTTTGTTAAAGTGTACGTAAAGGGCGAAAAAATGCGAAAATAGTGGTGTAACTTTAAAAACTATTTTTTTAATGTCTAATTTTCACTGACATACTACATAACATTAAAGTGTTGTTTCATGGTATTATTTTGTATAATGTAACTAATATACTATGATTCATATTTAAAATTTACTGAAACTATAACGTTTTTTGAATAAAAGATTTCTACTCAGTTGTGCATCATTCAGCGAACCAAGTTAAAAATTTTCAGTAAAAATGTTACAAAATTTCATGACTGAAGTCTAACATTTTGGAAAATACTAATATAAATGAAAACGACTTCAAACATTATGAGTGGGTATTATAACTAAATAAATTGTGGTTGAAAGGGCTGGAACACAACAAAAGTTTGTTTCTGTTGTGGGTTAATTGCATTCACAGAATTGCCACGTTGTTCTTTTGAGAACAGTAAAAAACTTGTTTGTGTCGTAAACTTCGGACAGGAGGTTTCCAAATGAGGGTGCTTCAATATATACGTAAAAGTTTTTCGGGTATTGTGAAACAAACGTCGAAATTATTTATTTTTGGACTTAGGGGTGTAAAATGTGGTCGTAAATACAGCTGGGTCCACTTACTGGGCTACGTCACAACACTAATGATAGTGGTAACCTTGAGAAGTTCTGTTTTGAATATTGGTTTGGTTGTAAATTATTATAACATAAAATTAATCCACGATTTCTTCTGCGATATTATAAATAATCAAGAAAATATAGAAAACTTTCTTATAAACCCTTCTTCGTTCCAAATGCTATGTACCCATACGCTACATTTCTTTATGACTGGTTAAGTCGGTCGAGACAAAGGCTTAAAAGAAAACAAACAAACCTCATTTATGTGTACGACATTACATAGGATTATGTGGTAGTTCATTGTCGTTATAGAAAAACTATAATGCGACAGAAATAGTGGCATACGACCAATATTTTTAGTATCTAAAAGGAATGAGATATATAATTATAATTATTTATAGAGTACGTAGGATGCCTTAATATTTAAAAATGGCTATGTATGAGTGGTACAACATATTTTGTTGTGTATCCGTGGTAAATAATGTCATTCAATTAATTAGAAAAAGAAACTTAAAATAAACTGAATTTTATATAAGAAACAACTAGAATAATTTAGTGTCTTCGGCAATTATGTAAAACATTTATTTATATTTTATTTATATGTGGTAAAGTCGTAAGTACGAAAGTATATAATATATAAAAAGCTCACATTCGCACACTCATGTTACCTTTCTGTAGACAAAGGTTACTTTTAGAATACAAATAATACGTAAATAGATTTGTATTATTGTATCGTTTTACTCCCTAGAGGGATTATAGAAACAATTTAGTATATAAGACAATATGAATGCGACTCCCACACAATATCGATACTCTGCCCATTAGAAAGGTAAAGAAAATATTTTCTTTGTTATAAACTATGACAGAATATTATAATCCCAAGAGTAAGTACTTATACAATACAGTAAGTATTGAAGAGTTCTATATATGATTAGCTGAGTCCACGACTTCATACCCATATAACAGTTTTGTCTTTATTGACCGTATTGGAATAAAACAAGCATAAAATTGCATGTGAAGTAAGCTTCACATACAATCTTATGCTTGTTTTGCTATGCTGTTAATTTTATACTCAAATCGGTTATTGGTGGTATGCCACCAATAACCGATTTAAGTGCTGAAGTTTATGCTGATGTATATTAGCGAAAACCGCATCCAATTCGGTTAAGCTGTGTGTGGTTACACGCGCACAAACGCACAGATTTATAGAATTAGAATTATTATCAGAAAAATTCTAATAATAATTGATTTAGGTTTCATTACGTTGAAAAAGACTTAATATGTCTCATATATATGTATTTCATGTACAAACGGTAACAGATAACGATCAGTTTCATTTTTATTGGGTGTATAGATACGGTGGATATTTGTTTAGAACAAGCAAGGATAGATTAATCATTATGTCACAATCACTAGACATATACGTATATTTGTAGAAATTTTGAACGATCTTCAAGAATGTGAATAATGTCAGTTTGATATTTTATATTCGGCATCATAAGTCATAACGATAAATAGGAGTGGAGACCGCGATTTGGCTAACGTAGTGTAGGACGCGCCGCAGCTAGGTGGAGCGACCACATACGTAGGGTTGCGGGTAGTAACTGGATGAGAAGGAAAACTGAAGATCGTGCCCACTGGCGTGCCTTGGAAGAGGCCTATGTACAGCTGTGGACTGTAGTGGGCTGATGATGATATTTTATATCTTGTGTAAGCGTATTGTTTTATTTACTGTCAGGTTAGTCTCAAATAACCCTTGTTAAAATTTATGTTTATTTTCCATGCGAAACTAATTGCCGCGTGAGTATTGCTTTGTTGAATACTTATTTTTTTAGTACAATTGATAATCTTAATTTTAACATCGAAAGACAGATTCTTTATGCAATTTGTATGGTACTTGTTCTTAGGTGACTATTACCTACCATTTTTCATATTGCATACTGAGTGAAGCTTGCAATCTGTATGTAGGTCAACTTTCTATCGTATATTTATGTTATTCATGTTAAAAAAGAGCATGGTAGTAGCACAGTTTCCGTACATGTGATAAAAATTAGTGTATTACTAAATTCTTGATGTACATAATAACATTACTTACTACTGTGTATTGAATATAGTATAAAATAATATTTTATAAGGATCCTTCTTTTACAAAGCTAGTTTCTAGTTAATTTAATAAACGCAGATCCGTTCTTCATAATATCAGTATACAATTCCCTAATTGATATACATACTCAGGTCTAAAATTATTGTGATAAAAGTAGTTTTATACTTAATCAGGCTATTTGAATACATATTTTTTTGTATAAATAAAATAATATTATGAAACGATGTGAATCCTTGCAAACCCAATAGACACCTTCATAAATTTGCCTAACCTGATCTGAAAACCAAAAGTCGGAGTCGTCTGCACGGAAGTCGTTCATAAATTACGATTTAAAAATGTACCGGGCGAAAGAATAATAAATTGATGTACTTATGAAAACTACCACCAACGGTTCAGTACAAAATTGCAACTCTTATATAGTATCGTACATGTATTATTATTGTACAGTAGCAAGGGTAGGGTGGTCGTTTATAAAATTGAACAAAAACCTCGCGTGACTAAGCAACAAGGCGTCGCCAAAATGTGTGACGCAGCGACACACACGCATACAACTAGGTAATGGTAACACCCTATTGACTTGAATGTTCCTTTCAACGCATCTTAGTTAGAAGCTTCATAAAAGGCCACAACTACCTAAATATACACACGAAGTACGAGGAATCGCGTTAACATATGTTTTTTCTACATGAGAGTCTATGGGGACTTAGCTCGGTTCGTTAGGGTTTATTAGGGAAAACCAGCGTTAATGAACAAGAAAATGTTATTGTATGTATACAGATTTATACTTATTTATTGATTGAGATTTTGTACTCGTATACAAAAGTACACCTACATCGTTCATTGATTATTAAGTCACAATACTCAATTTAAAAATTTGTAATTGTAAAAAAAAAATTAATTGATTAATCATCATTGTTTCAAACACAGGAGTAAATAAATAATACCATACTATAAAGTTGGCAAGGACAATTACTACCCATTATATATTTAGCTGTAATAGTTTCATACAGTTTCAAAGTTATGTCATTACTAAACTAATTTAATAAATAATATTCTACTTTTTAATTGGCCCGGCTCGCCTTTGCCGCATTGGATTGTAGTTCTATAAATTGAGTTTTATAAGTTTGCTACATTGAGAATCTACAGTCTATACTGAATTTATAAATTGTTTATTTTTTTATTACTTATGAAATAGTAAGAACAGCAGTTCAAGTATTAGATATCTATATACACCAAATAAAAATAATTATCTATATAAAATTAAATAAAAACTTCAAATACTTTTTTTAGACACAATAACACAAGCATAGCATCACGCAAATCAAATCGTTCCGAGACCTTACTGTATCCATCAAGCGTTGCCATTCTGGAAGACTAAGGCGCCAAGACTTCGTACCCTGTTATTTCACTATCATATTTCACCTTTAAACCGAAACACATCTTACAGAGTAAGTTGTTTGGTAGCTTAT